CTCTAGCTTTTTTTTTTGTCACTTATAGAATATTTGAAGCAGTGTTTTCTCTTAAACTTTGACACAATTTTATGTCAGACATGGCACCCGTATCAACAGCAGATTTTATATTGAATTTTCCACGAGTTTCATCATGAGTTAGTGAAAAACTTAAATTATGTAAATAGTTAATTTGTTTATCTCTATGTCCTGTGACAATTACCCAACTTTAGAGAGGGGTTATTAAGGGCATAATTAATATTAATATTATAGATAAGGGGGTTAAGCTATCAAAAGGTTTAGGAATCCCTGGTTGAACTGCCTGGTGGTCTCTGCTGCTGTAGCCCATCCGCCTCAAGGTTGGACGTGTTGTGCATTCAGAGATGCTCTTCTGCAGACCTTGGTTGTAACGAGTGGTTACTTGAGTTACTGTTGACTTTCTATCAGATGAAACCAGTCTGGCCATTCTCTGACCTCTGGCATCAATAAGGCATTTGTGCCCAGAATATTTTTTTCCCCTAGAGATTGTTGTGCGTGAAAATCCCAGTAGATCAGCAGTTTCTGAAATACTCGGACCAACTCATCTGGCTATATAATTATATTTTTTATCATTATTAATATTAAGAATGTTCATTAACAATTTCATTAAGAATAACTTTTGAACTGCAGTTTTTATTTATGTTCCAGGAAATAATATTTTAGACATTACTTTACCTGTTGCTCCTTTTTACTGTAGGTTCTGTTCAGCAATATATTTGGCAACATAGATCTTTATCAGTATTTTTAAAGCAGTTTACTTTTTTGAATATTGACTGTAGTTTAGTTGAATGAAGTTTAATTTCATCTCAGTGTGATTAATGCCTTTGCTAAATGTTTTACTAAAATAAATCAGTGTTATGGTTAAGTCTTTGATGTAATTTCAAATGAATTAAAACGAATTAAAATTGAAATTAAAGTGTCCCCTCAACGCTGTTACGGTCTTCAACCCCATCACTGTATTCTTAACTTTGTGAAATTAATATTTTTTTGGAAAATAAAATAAGAAAAGCTATTAAATATAGAAAATTTCTTGCTGAATACCAATGACCATGTTAAGGCCTACCATTGTAAATATGTGGTTTGGTTAAGACATCTAAATTTAAAACTTTTTTAGAAAAATTAAGAGACCACAGAATGCATGAATTGTATAATTGTAACTTAAATCACATTTAAATCTAAAACTTATCAAAAATGTTCTATTTTAGCCATTAAACTGATTTGAGAGGCATATGAGCAGTAGGTAAATGTTGGTTTTATAGCAAAAGCTTTTTTTAAAATGCTATTATTAACAACTCTGTTACGGGGTTGAGAATAATGGGTGTCCAAATAAGAATAAAACAGAAAATAATATAAAGGCTTTAATGCCTGAGGTGGGAAAATATTATTTTTTGAAAGTTTAAACTGTGCCTAATAATGTGCCTATTTAAAGATATAATCAATACACATTTAAAAATGAGTATGCCAGGAATGACCCATTTATTATTTTCATGAATATAAAAGCACATTATTTTTCACTTTAGCCACAGTATGACATTTGTCTTCTTTAAAATGAGACCAAGCTTAAATCTGTGCACTACAGTGTTGAAAATTGGCAATCATTTAAGTTAAACACGACATTATATGTTCATGTTCAAAAAGTTAAGGAGTTAAAATATATTATAATAAACCCCTTATGATAAATCTCATATGAAGAATGAAACAAAACAAAACCTCCAGTCCAAAATGCAAGGATGTTGTAAATTATATATATATATATATATATATATATATATATATATATATATATATATATATATATATATATATATATATATATATATATATATCTGTAAATAACAAGACTCACCTGTAAATGTTTTTAAAAAATCATCTGAATATCTTAAAAAGAACATTCTCATTCATCACGCAGCTCTCTTTTGTCAGTGTTTTGATGTTTGATTCGTCTGAGGACCCAGACAAATAGCCCATTTGTTCAACTTTGAAGTTTGAATGAGTCTCTGGTGCTCTGTAATTATTCTGCTCTCTGTGCACGGATAGTCTGGGCCACTTCTCACAAAAATAAATACTACACTAAACAAAAATATCAAATTCTTTGTACCACAAATGACATCGGTGTTGACAAAGTAACAGCACAGTGTTCAAGACTTCTTCTCCACTAAAGTGACATTTATCACAACGTACTGTTGGTTTAATTACATCTGGTAATCACAGAGCTATCAAATCACACCAAACTACTGCGTTCCTCCACCGTCTGGTAATGTTTTGCAGACGCTTTTTTTATATATAATTAAGCCAACATCAAAAACGCACATTTTGATTTAGACGCTTAGATGTCAAATAAAAGACTAAAGACATTAAAAGACATTTTTAAATCTGATTAAATCTTTTAAATGTCAACAACAACAACAACAACAACAACAGCAACAACAACAACAAACTTTTAATGCAATTTGTATTAATTTAAACAACAATTTCTGGCTTTAGGTGAATGCAACTGCAAACTATTTAAAATGGATCCTAAAGAGCAAGTTTCAAAAATAATAATAACTCCAATATTTTATTTTTTAAAGTAAATAAGACTTACCAAAATGGAGATGTCAAGTGTGTTCAGGCATTAATGAGTACTTAACAAAATAAACAACATCGGTGGACTACCGAAGGTTTGTATTGTTGCTTCACAATGTAAAAATAATAAAAAAATAAAAAAATCAAAGGGGGGGCTAATAATTCTGACCTTAACTGTATATGTAGATGTATGATATTACAATAAATAGTTCATATTTTAGAGATGACTATTCTTTATAACCAGCAAATTCTGTCAAAATACAAAATAAAGAAAATATTACTGAGTTTAAACCGATAAAAATAAAACTAAAAAAGTGCTTGGTTATTTTTGGAGAAGCAAGATTGACTAGTTGCAGATCCTTATTGATGGAGGATATTTATGTCATGCAATGAAATATAATTAATGTATTTTTTAATATCACTTAGCATCTTTGTACCTTTTGACTTCCAGTGTGTGACATTTCAATAAACTGTAGAGACAAATTGCTTATTGTAAAACGTAATTCTATAAAAGGGTGCTGTTAATAATGTTTATTCATTCATTCATTCATTCATTTGTCGGCTTAGTCCTTTTATTAATCTGGGGTTGCCACAGTGGAATGAATCACCAACTTATCCAGCAAATGTTTTACAGAGCGGATGGCCTTCTAGCTGCAACCCATCATTAGAAACATCAATACACTCCCATTCACACCCATACACTATGGACAATTTAGCCTTAGACTACCCAATTCATCTGTTCCGCATATCTTTGGACTGGTATAGGGGAAACCTATGCCAACACGAGGAGAACATGGAAACACACAGAAATGTTAGCTGACTCAGCCGAGGCTCGAAAAAGCAACGTTCTTGCTGTGAGGCGATCGTGCTACCCACTGTGAGGCATTATTAATGTTTGGTATGACCTAAAGCATATCTATAAACAAATAAGCAAAATAAAGAAGGAAACATATAATTACAAATTATAAATACATTCATTCATTCATTTTCTTTTTGGCTTAGTCTCTTTATTATTCTGAGGTCGCCACAGCGGAATGAACCGCCAACTTATCCAGCATATGTATTATGCAGCGGATGCCCTCCGGCTGCAATCCATCTCTGGGAAACATCCATACACACTCATTCACATGCACCCGGAGGAAATCCACGCGAATGCAGGGAGAACATGCAAATTCCACACAGAAACATCAACTGAACCAGCCAAGACTCGATCCAGCGACCTTCTTGCTGTGAGGCGACAGCACTACCTACTGCGCCACTGCGCGCCCAAATTAAAAATAAACACATTTAATTAAATTTTAAATAAATATGCGAAATCCATTATTAAATACGAATAATTGTTTATCATTGATTTTGTGTCATTTACAATTATACTATACAAATAATGCTATAACAGTAATTATATAATAATAATAATTATTATTATTATTATTTCATTAAAAAGGTGCAAAAAAGTTTAAAAGTCTAATATGCTGATAAATAATTTCTCAGCTCAGACACAGTTATTTACTTAAGTTTTTTTTATTTTAATCTAACAAAAAACTCCAACAAAAACCCCTTCAGAACCAAATTATTGTCCAAGTTTCAGAAAATTGTAAAAGTACATTTTCCCTCTTCCTAAGGTCTACAAAAATGAGACAAAATACAAATATGACAAAGTTTCATAACCTTTAATTTATTTCCAGCTTGTCCATTTCAATGTACATCAGGTCAAAACAGTTGTACTACAAATACAATACACCAACATACAATTAAAAATAAATTTATTCAAATTCTTCATCTTTATTTCAAATTTCTTTTGAAGGTTGCAAGCTTGAACAATAAAACATCTTTAAAACAACTTTAATTTACAGGTTTTTGCTTTATAGGTCACCCATTATTAAAACCCACTGAACATTAAAATGGAGAGACATTCCAAAAAAATAGTTCACCCAAAGATAAAACTTCTGTCATCATTTACTCATCCTTTACTTATTTCAAATGAGTGACGAGCTTCTTTTTTCACTTGAACACAAAAGAAGATATTTTACAGAAAGCTGGAAACCAGTAACCATTCGCTTCCATAGTAGGCTTTTTCTTCTATTGAAGTCAATGGTTACGGAAACAGAACAGCAAAAAGAAACTCATAAAACATTTTGAAACCCCTTGTGGGAGAGTAAATAGTGAGTATTGTAATTTTTGGGTCAACTATCTCCTGATTAAAAGCTTTTAATTCTGCAAGAAATGTTTATTAGTAAATGTTATCCTTGTTTTCTATACAATCTAAAAAAAATGTTAGCAATAACATCAATAAATGTGAATAAAACCACTGAAAATAGTGCTTATTTTATGCTTGAACACAGTGCTGCTATTTGTGAATTTCAAAAGTTTGATTACTCATTACTATTTCCTTCCTTCCTTCATTATTAACACATAAACATCATAGCATCAGAAATCATCAAGCATTCGGAAGCATTCTCTCTTTTCTTTTTCCTTTGCATGAAAAGGATTGAGCAACATTCCAAGCTATTCAGTTATCACCCCTTTTTTCAGTGGTGATCTGAAGACTCGTCACATTCACAGTAACACAGTCTGTGATGTTTGCTGCAGTGGTGACGGGTGCTGCTGTTGTGGTTTTCTTGTCAGTGATTGGCTGATTTGTTGCAGGCCTACCAGTAGGAGGCTGTGCGGTTGTGAAGTCCTCAGAAGATTCAGATTCACTCGATTCAGACTCGTTTGACTCAGAGCTCTCATCTGACTCGGAATTTGATGAAGCTTTGGATGAATCATTTTCGTCCGAACTGCTTCTTGACAAATGCAACTAAGGATTTAAACAGATAAATAATATTATTGTGTGTTCTATTGTTGGTATATTATGTCATTTGCTTCAAAGGTCTTGAACAATAGGCTTACATTCATCCTATACAACATTCTCATTTTATAAAAAAAATCATAGATTAATTTGCATTACAGCATTAACTCTGTCTCTTTGTTTTTGTCGTTATTTAGGAATCCAGTTTCTGTGGTCTGAATAATTTTTAGTTGTTATTGCGATATTGTATTTTTGACAGTTTTGTGTATATTGGCACTTACTGTAGATTTTAAATACATTCTGGGAAATGTAGTGAAATGAAGTCTTTTTAGTGTTTCATAAGTCATACAACTCATAATTTTCTGTGGTTGATAATGAATTAATGTATGGTATGGCACCTAAGTATAATGCTCACATTTCATACACACAAACTTGTACTGTCTATATGATTTACGAGGACTCGATTGGTGTAATGTATTTTATACTGTAAAAACTGCTTATTACATATCCCTACCCCTAAATCCAACCTTCACAGAAAACCTGTCAAATATTTGTACATTAAAAGACCTATAAATAGTATATTTAAGCATTTTGAATTATGAGGCATTTCCTTGTAAACAGCCTAAGCAGAATATAGCTAGGTCATACCCATGTCAGTTTACACTAGTGTACTTGGTGTCCTCGTAAACCGTTTTGTGCCAAACCTTATGTCCCATTCTGTGAATTTAAGTCACTTTTTTGTGAATTGTAATAAAATCATTCTACACAGTTAAAGATATTATTTGAAAATATAACCTTGATATCCTTAATATTGACTGATTTGGGCCTTGTAAAAATGTTCTTAATTTCAGACTCAGAAAGTCATCTTTTTCATCACATTTTCAGTAATATGTGACACATTAATGGGAAGTTTAGCAAAAACAGGTGTAATTATTTGGTCTAAAAAGCATTAAAATGCACCAACTGGTACAGCAACTTTATTTGTAAAATCAAATATCAGTAGAAAATAGTAATAAATATATAAAAATAATATATTATATTGAATATGAAATATTATTATAAATGAACTATTTATTCATTCATTTTCTTGTCGGCTTAGTCCCTTTATTAATCCGGGGTCGCCACAGCGGAATGAACCGCCAACTTATCCAGCATATTTTTACGCATGCCATTTCAGCCGCAACCCATCTCTGGGAAATATTGATAACTATATAAAATATAAATATAAAACACCAACCTTTTTCTGTGTTATGAGATAATTATGATGTGACATGACAGTCCATGATGTAACAAAGAGGTGTTTTAAATGGAAGTAAGCCTTTAATACCTAGACATTTGTATTTATCCTGTAAAACAGGTAATTGCTAAATATTGTAAAGATGATGGCAAAATGTGCTTTCTGTAATGATAAAGGAGTATTATTCATTTATTTTATGATTGAAAGGTTAAAAGATTAAAAGGTTTTTGCATCTAAACTGTTCATATGGATTAAAACACTATATTATAGTTTTATCTATAAATTACATTAGTATTTTTCATGGGTAAGCATTACATTGGCTGTATACGCAGATGATTATTTAACTACATATTTAGCAAAAAAAAAAAAAAAAAAGTAAAAAACTAACAAACCCTTGAAAACTCTGAAGTTTTTCTGAATTTATCTTTGTAGTTTTTATTTCAATTTAGAAGAAATGCCATCAGTAGTTTTAAGAATGAAACAAAAATGATGTTTTACTCAAAAACAACTTTAAATCCAGAGAAACAAAAAATTTTCAAAGATCTGTTCATCTTTTTCCACAACTGTACAAATCATAATAAATAGAAAATGTCTTTTTTTTTTCTGAATACTTACTGGTTTTGAAATGACAGACGCAACAAAAAGCATCAGAATCAATCCCTTCAAAGTATTCATCCTACAAAACAAAACCACCAAAACACATTAAAACCAATACGCTCTGCTTAAGTTAAATAATGACTATACAAAAGAATAAAAATTTTATTTAAAGCATTTGATTTGCGTGCTTGTATTTGATTATTATTCAGTTACCAATATAGATTAAAAAGCCATAAATGCATCATAACTCAAGATACGAGTGAGTTACCTTGTATAAATGTTCTTGTCCAGTGATAGAACAGTCCCAGTCTGTATATATTTACCCTGGCATCTGTGGCTTAAATACTGGTGGATGTGAGTAAACCGGGGCTTGGTCCTGCAAATTCCTGTTGCGATTAGATGACAATAACAACCAACATTTGTGCAACTTCCTGGTCTCTAACGCTTGCAAAATCTCTTTTACACTCAGTGTGTAGTAATCCAAACAAGAGTGTAAATCATACGCCATCACTGCCCCATTGTTTAGACAAACCACACTGTCTGCTACTTGTTGAGCTTGATAGCAGTGAAGGCTCAGAATTTAAACATACTATACGTATACTGATTTACTGTACTGTATATGTCAGATCCACACATGTGAAATTATGGTCTATGACTTTATTATTGTATATTGGATATGCTCCAGTGCTCTAAATAGTAACTGAGAGAGCTTGGTGTACCACTGGGCTATATACTGTGCACTCTTAAAAAGGTGGATCTTTAAAGGTTTCTTACATTTAGTAACAGTTCTTACTTAGAACCATGTCGTCATGAAGAATGCTTTTACCGCTTAGGCTTTTTTATTTCCTGCCTTTTTTTTTTTTTAAATGTAACAGTCAAAACATAAACAGCTACTGGTTGTTGCAACATAGGCCGACTCTAAAAACATATATACATACATTTATATACATTTCTGGAGATTTATTTATGTAGCCAGAAGTATGTATGGCTGCATTTTGTCTTTAAATGAATGCTAGGGGGTGGTATGACAACATTGTTTTTTGCGTTTACCAGCAGACCGGTTAACTCTGTGTGGATGGCTTTCCCGCTGACACCAGTTTGTCTGGTAGCTCGCTGTGTGCGTCTGAGAACTTGAGACGCAGAAGAGTTGACCATAATGACATGGTTTGAATCCTGCGAAGAACGGTTTTGTAACGGGGAGCTGGACACAGAGGGATCCATTTGCAGTATATTTATTAAACGCAGTTCAAACACAATCATACAATACGCATTTACATGCGAACTCACATCAATGGCATTCAGTCTGGGTCTAAGGGCTGGCGGCTGGCTGTCAAGGAGTAATATAGCAGGCATTGATCAGAGGCGGGCGGCGTGGTTCAGAGTCGAGATATCAGGCGTGGTTCAGGGCAGGTGGCGTGGTTCAGAGTCGAGATAACAAGCAAGATTCGGGGCAGGCAGAAGGCAACACAGGGTCAGTAACAGTCCAGGTAATACACAGGGAATCAGGCCAGGAGATAACGCTCAGTAATGTCAGACAGGGCAGAACAAGACTTTGCAAAGGACTGGAGTGTGTGTGCTGCTTATATGTGTGAGCTTATATGTGGGTCGTTAACGGGATGAGCTGCAGGTTTGTGTGTTTATCAGTTTAAGTGGATGACGTAATGCTTAGAAGTCCGGTGATGGTGGCCTCTGCTGGCCAGCGAGGGGAATGACTGGGACCGAGTCGGTGACAAGTTCCAGAAAGCAGGTAAGACAAAAACAGAAGCCAAAAAATAGAGAATGTGGTAAAATCTGATAACGTGATAAAAATCAGGGGTTCTTTTTTTTTCTAGATTACCAACTGTCGGTTGGGTTTAGGAAATGGCTGGGTGGGTCAATCAGTGCTTTTGGAAACACTATTGGTTGGGTTTAGGGAAGGAGGAGGGTGGGTCAGTCAATCGGTCAGTCAGTCAGTCAGTCAGTCAGTCAGTCAGTCAGTCAGTCAGTCAGACAGTCCATAGCGGTCTCTGGTGGATTTATGTGAGAACAGCAGAAAAAAAACTGCAAAAAATAAATAAATAAATAAATAAATAAATAATAATATTAATAGTAATAATAATAATAATAATAATAATAATAATAATAATAATAATTATTATTATTATTATTATTATTATTATTATTATTATTATTATTATTATATAGCTTCTGGGCATACCTGCCAACATTGGTATGTGAAAATAAGGGATATGCCCACCATAATAAGGGATTCCCCTGACCTCCTTTTAAAAATCCCTAAATTACTAAATATGCTCATTTGGAGCTGTTTTATTATAAACAAACAGTTAAATGGTCAGCAATATGTTTTATTATTATTATTATTTACAAAAGAAAAAAAAAAATAGAATACATCAGCAGCAAATAAATTAGCAAACAGTTCAGCTTATTAAAATGAATAGCTATTAGAATGAAATAGAATCAAATCTCTTTAGCTGTTTCTTCACTGTATAACGTACACATTCTGATTAAAGAGCAATGAATTAATGATTTATTTAGATTTAGATTTTTTTTGTTTGTTTACATTAAATAACAGGTGTTACTTTAAAAATGCACACATCTAACATTGAAATGAAAGCATTCAACTGCTTTCCCAACTGTTTATGCTCAATTAGGACAAAATTACTTGTGTTTGAAAAAAAAAACTCACCAAGATCAACATCTTTAGATATTAATATTATTAATTATGTGTTTATATCTGTTTAAACACGCACCTAAAACCCAGACTTTTGCTCCGCTTCACGAGTACAGAATCCGTTTGGGAAACAGCATATGTTTATCAATAAGGAGCGAGTCAGCTGACAGTCATGCACCTCTATATGAGTGTTTTGAGGATTGCATATGAATGGGAGATGACTGTTCTGAGTTTTTGACAAATTAAAACGTTAACTGTAAGAATAGTAAACTATCTGCTGGTTCTTTGGCAAGTCAAAGTTTGGTAGTCAAACTCATTAGACACACATTAGAAACAAATAAAAACAGTATATTTGCATGTAATTACATGACATAAAAATGTTGGTTTAAAGTAAGGAAAAGTAAGGCTTTATTTTTTTCTAGTTTTTTTATTTTTTATTTTTATTTTTTTTTTATTTAAAAGCAAATTAAACAAGCAGGTTAAAACCAGAAACCATTTTGTATGTGCCCTCAGCTAACTCCTTACTGTCCAACTATATTTAATACATTGTCTAAAGTGTGTGAAGTACAGCTTTAGCCATGTGCAGAATTTGCTTTGTTTGGTATTCCACCTGATGAACTGAGTCTGACTCAAAGACAACAAAACATTAAAGCCTTTGCATCTTGTGGCTCGCAGACAAATTTTACTGCACTGGAAATCCTTAAATCCACCTAAAGCATCACACTGGCTTCAAGATCTGATGTTATATTTACACTTGGAAAAAAATAAATAATCAATTAGAGGTTCTAGCAAATTCTCATATGGTTGGCAACCCTTACTATCATATTTCTCTGCTATAAGTGTACTTCCTGGGGAATAATGGGACTGTCTTGTATGTAACGGGAATCTTTTTTCTGTAATCCTCTTGTCTTTTCTTTCTCTGTCCAGAACCTCAAGCTTTATCTATGTTAACCTACCATAGTAAGATAGCACAGCATTATACCTGATCGTATCACCCATTACTGCTATCACTCTATTTATCTATGTATTTATTATTATTTTATTTATTTATTTGTTTATTTATTTAATTTTCTCCTTTTATTTAAAAAAATAAGCAAATTTTTCTAGTATTATTGTTTTTATAGCTACTTTTAATTTTTTTAACTATCTTTCTTTAGGCAGTGTATTTAGGGTTTGTTGACGTGGGTTTTTATATGTATAAAAATATATACACAATGTATAATCAATCTAATTTTGTTCTTGGCAAAAATAAAGGGAAAAAAACAGATACCATAATTTCTCACTTAAACCAATAGAAAACAAACACAGTAGTTTCACATTTTTCAGAACAAGAAGACAACTATTTATGAACCTCTCAGTATAGTGGTCTAAATAATGATAAGAATTGCCAATATTTCAAATCTGATTCATGATGAAAGTGGAATATTTCACAACCCAGGTCTGGTATTGAGGCAAAAGACAAACACACAACATGTATATAAGAAACTTACACAATCAATCTAGTCTGACGTGATTACCATGGTGAGGTTTGGTAAACTGCTCTCAGACTCTTTAACATATATTTTTTAACATATTAAACTCATAATATAAACATTTTTTCGTATACTCCAAAAATGAGTTTCAGTTACAGTGTAACATTTATTGGTTGATTGATTGACCAATTAATAATATTATGAGTATATTTGGATACTAGACTTAACAGTATATTTTTAATTAAACTCTTACGAATAAAAAGTTACAAACAGGGCGGTTTGCAGAGATACAAGTTCTTAAAAAGATGTTAAAATATAACTTTTTTTCACAGTACAGAAATGGCAAGTTGTATCTTTAATGTTCCTCTTTAAAGAGTTTTCTCAGGAATGAGTCATTCTTTTTTGTACATGCTCAACATCCTATCGGATGAACAGAAATGACTAGTTCAAACACCTTTGTGATTGAGTCATTCCTTATTTTGTCACGTGATAGAAACTAGTTTAAAATTCCTAACTTTCCTAATCAAGCATGATTAATATTGTTTTATTTCCCTCGTGACACATATCTAATCTTATATAAAATCTCTTAATACTTTATGAAGAACGGTTCTTTGCTGTGGGAAGAAGAAGAAAGAGCCAGCGTTAAGGTAAGTGATAATTTTATTTATTTTTGTTAGTGTTTCTGCGACAGCTCTTTAAGTGCATGTTGTTGCTCAGCTCTCTCTCTCTCCCAACTGGTCTCTCTCGCTCCCGGTGTCTCCCTGGCCCAATCACTAGAGAAAACAGGTATTATTAATTATTTCTGATTGGGCTACTGACCAGCCGCCGGTGTCTCCATTCGCTCTCCCAACTTTCTAGTTGTTCGGCCACGCTCTCTCTCCACCACACTTTACATTTCACATTTTTGTTTTTGAAAATGGTGATCAAGAGTTGGTCAATGCAAAAACTTTATCCACTTGATGGCAAAACCACTGTGATAAAGCAAAGATTTATTATTTAAAGTAAATGTTATAGTGTTTTTGAACCATTAATAAAGTATTGTACATAAAGTATTTACAACACTTTGTTGATGAATGCATAGCAGTGTAGTTTTAACTGTAACACTTTCTTTTTAAAACCAACAAAGTACCATGTAAGTACAGTGAAATAACGGTGTACTTTTCTGTACGTAT